AGTCCGGTTGTTTTTTGTTTATCTGCATCACCGAGGTTCAGTTTACTGATGCTGCACTAAGTCAGGCCTAATTATATTGAATGAAGGTTCAATCAGCATAGCTACCATATGACTGGAGGCCAATTCACTTGGGTCCTCAGCTCGCTGAAATAGAAATTTCGAAAGGAAAAAGGTGGGTTGTATGAGTGTGTCTATTCACTGCATGTGTGTGTGTGTGTGTGTGCGCGCGCGCGCGCAATTTGGCCTGAATAAAAAAAGAGAATCTCCATCTGACAACTGAGAAGCAGAGATGTGTGACCTACCTCGTTGTGACGGAGCCATAAGTTTACACTTAACTGTAGCAGAAATCCGGAAGGTCACAGAGGAGCAGCGCCGGCGCTCCGCACACGCACACCACGCACAGCGCGTAGGGCACCACGCCGGGGAAGGGGCACCAAACGCAAGCTTATGAAAAATAATATATATATATATATATATGATAAAGACAGATTTCAATTAGAAGATGTGCAAAGCAAGTTAACAGCATGTTTACAGAGAGAAAACAATACAAAAAGGAAAGGAGATGGACCGTGTCCACTTTTCACTCTGTCCGGGACGTCCGGACTGGGGGTTCTTATTGATGAAAATGTCCGGCTCTTCATCCAGGAGCAGGGATCGAATTATGGGGGAGTTGTATGTCCTACACATCCAGGGGAGCCGGAAAAAAGTTTTCTACCTATATTACATCATTTATGGACTCTTCTGAGCAGAGAGCACAGAGAGCGGCACAGCGCGTTATTGCGCAGCGATCCAGGCAGCTGCTTCCAGCGCACGGTCCATTCTCAAAGTGGCGCAACCAAAAAAACTATAATTAGCACACGATCGTTCATGTCCGCTCATGTTCTCCACTTTCTGTCTTATTTGTGCCTGGCGCTCCGCTACTGCAGAGCTCATCACCTGCACTGCGGTGATTTCACCTCACTGACGCAGCATCGAATCGCGCACTCCGCTTTGCGGTCAGGAGATCCCTTTGATCTGCTCAGAAGTAACTGATGAGGTGAAAAAGTAAGAATCCAGGCAGCAGATTTTCTGGAGAGTTTAGAGGAGATGCAGGAAGATGAGAGACAGACAGGACAGGAAAATAGTTCAATAAAAACAAGAAAACAAAACAAAGTGTTGAAAAGTAAAATGTAGATTTATCTCCACTACACGTTTCTACCTGTATAAAACAATAAGTTACACACATGCAATATCTCCTCCTTGAACCGTCACCTTATCGTGGTGGAGGAGTTTGAGTGCCCTAATGATCCTAGGAGCTATGTTGTCTGGGGCACTTAGTGCCCCTGGTAGGGTCTCCCATGACAAATTGGTCTTAGGTGAAGGGTGAGACAAAGAACGGTTCGAAGGATCTTTCATGGCGGTTAAAACGAAGAGTCGGAGTACCCGGCCCGGAGGGTTACCGGGGTCCCACCCTGGAGCCAGGCCTGGGGTTGGGGCCCGTGAGCGAGCGCCTGGTGGCCGGGCTTTCGCCCATGGGGCCCGGCCGGGCCCAGCCCGAACCGGATACATGGGCTCGTCCAACTGTGGACCCACCACCAGCAGGAGGAACATGAAGGGTCCGGTGCAATGCGAATCGGGTGGCAGACCAAGGTGGGAGCCTTGGCGGTCCAATCCCCGGACAAGAAAACTAGTTTTTGGGACATGGAACGTCACCTCGCTGGCGGGGAAGGAGCCGGAGCTTGTGGCAGAGGTTGAGCGGTACCGGCTAGATATAGTCGGACTCACCTCGACACATTGCATTGGCTCTGGAACCAGAGACCTGGAGAGGGGTTGGACACTCTACTTTGCTGGAGTTGCTCCGGGTGAGAGGCGGAGGGCTGGGGTTGGCTTTTTGTTAGCCCCGAGACTCTCTGCCTGTGTGTTGGGGTTTACCCCGGGGGACAAGAGGGTAGCTTCCTTGCGCCTTCGGGTCGGGGAACGGGTCCTGACTGTTGTTTGTGCTTATGGGCCAAATATCAGTTCAGAGTACCCACCCTTTTTGGAGTCCCTGGGACGAGTGCTAGATAGTGCTCCATCAGGGGACTCCATTGTCCTGCTGGGGGACTTCAATGCTCACGTGGGCAATGACAGCTTGACCTGGAGGGGTGTGATTGGGAGGAACGGCCCACCTAATCTGAACTCGAGCGGTGTTTTGTTATTGGACTTCTGTGCAAGCCGCAGTTTGGCCATAACGAACACCATGTTCGAACATAAGGATGCCCACCGGTACACTTGGTACCAGGGCAGCCTAGGTCACAGGTCGATGATAGATTTTGTAGTCGTATCATCTGACCTGCGGCCGTATGTTTTGGACACCCGAGTGAAGAGAGGGGCGGAGCTGTCAACTGATCACCACCTGGTGGTGAGTTGGATCAGATGGCAAGGGAACATGCCGCGTAGACCTGGCAGACCCAAACGCATAGTGAGGGTCTGCTGGGAACGCCTGGCAGAAGAACCTGTCAAGACGGTCTTCAACGCCCACCTCCGGCAGAGCTTTGACCGCGTCCCGAGAGCAGTGGGGGACATTGAGTCCGAGTGGGCCTTGTTCCACTCTGCAATTGTCGAGGCGGCTGTTGCTAGCTGTGGTCGTAAGGTGGCCGGTGCCAGTCGTGGTGGCAACCCCCGTACCCGCTGGTGGACACCAGAGGTTCGGGGAGCCGTCAGGCTGAAGAAGGAGGCCTACAGGGCGTGGCTGGTCTGTGGGTCTCCGGAGGCAGCAGACAGGTACCGGATAGCCAAGCGGGGTGCGGCAGTGGCAGTTGCCGAGACAAAATCTCGAGCGTGGGAGGAGTTTGGTGAGGCCATGGAGAAAGACTATCGATCGGCTCCAAAGAGGTTCTGGCAAACTGTCCGGCGCCTCAGGAGAGGAAGGCAGCAACTCGCTCACACTGTTTACAGTGGGGATGGGGAGCTGCTGACGTCAACTGAGGCTATAGTCGGACGGTGGAAGGAATACTTTGAGGAGCTCCTCAATCTCACCAATGCGCATTCCGAGGAGGAACCAGAGCTGGGAGGCCTGGGGATGGACTGTCCGATCTCGGGGGCAGAAGTTGCTGAGGTAGTCAAACAACTACACAGCGGCGGTGCCCCGGGGGCGGATGAGGTTCGTCCTGGGTATCGTAAGGCTATGGATGTTGTAGGGCTGGCATGGTTGACACGTCTCTACAACATTGCGTGGTCATCGGGGGCAGTTCCTAGGGAGTGGCAGACCGGGGTGGTGGTCCCCATCTTTAAGAAGGGTGACCTGAGGGTGTGTTCCAACTATAGGGGGATCACACGCCTCAGCCTCCCTGGAAAGGTCTACTCCAAGGTACTGGAGAGGAGGGTCAGATCGATAGTGGAATCTCAGATAGAGGAGGAGCAATGTGGTTTTCGTCCTGGCCGTGGAACTGTGGACCAGCTCTATACCCTTGCAAGGGTGATGGAGGGGGCATGGGAGTTTGCCCAACCAATCCACATGTGCTTTGTGGATTTGGAGAAGGCTTATGACCGTGTCCCTAGGGGCACCCTGTGGGGGACGCTCCAGGAGTATGGGGTGGGTGGCTTTCTGTTAAGGGCCATTCAGTCCCTTTACCAGAGGAGCGTGAGTTTGGTCCGCATAGCCGGTAGTAAGTCGGACCTGTTCCCAGTGAGGGTTGAACTCCGCCAGGGCTGCCCTTTGTCACCGGTTCTGTTCATCACTTTTATGGACAGAATTTCTAGACGCAGCCGTGGTGTGGAGTGTGTCGAGTTTGGTGGCAGGAGAATCTCGTCTCTGCTTTTTGCGGATGATGTGGTCCTCCTAGCTTCATCCAGCTCTGACCTTCAGCTCTTGCTGGGTAGGTTCACGGCCGAATGTGAAGCGGCTGGGATGAGGATCAGCACCTCCAAATCTGAGACCATGGTTCTCGACCGGAAAAGGGTGGCTTGCCACCTCCGGGTCGGGGGAGAGGTCCTACCTCAAGTGGAGGAGTTTAAGTATCTCGGGGTCTTGTTCACGAGTGAGGGTAGGAGGGATCGGGAGATCGACAGGCGGATTGGTTCGGCGTCTGCAGTGATGCGGACGCTGAGCCGATCTGTCGTGGGGAAGAGGGAGCTGAGCCAGAAAGCCAGGCTCTCGATTTACCGGTCGATCTACGCCCCAATCCTCACCTATGGTCATGAGCTTTGGGTAATGACCGAAAGAACGAGATCGCGGATACAAGCGGCCGAAATGAGTTTCCTCCGTAGGGTGGCCGGGCTCAGCCTTAGAGATAGGGTGAGGAGCTCGGACATTCGGGAGGGACTCGGAGTAGAACCGCTGCTCCTCCGGATCGAAAGGAGCCAGTTGAGGTGGTTTGGGCATCTGGTCAGGATGCCTCCTGGACGCCTCCCCGGGGAGGTGTTTCGGGCATGTCCTGCCGGCAGAAGGCCCCCGGGTCGACCCAGGACACGTTGGAGAGGTTACATCTCCAATCTGGTCCGGGAACGCCTTGGAGTCCTGCCGGAGGAGCTGGTGGACAAGGCCGGGGAGAGGACGGCCTGGAGCTCCCTAGTTGGGATGCTGCCCCCGCGACCCGGACCCGGATAAGCGGAGGAAGACGACGACGACGACATGCAATATTTATACATCTGATACAATTCAGATCACCTTCAAAACTCAGTCACACACCCAGGGCCGTTTCAAGACATTTTGGGGGCCAAGGCAAAATGACCCCCCCCCCCCCCCCCCCCCCCCCCCCCACACACACACACACACACAAAATATCAATCCTACTTTTTGGAAAATAATAAGCAGTTTGTGCATACAAGAGAATTAAAGAAAATTTAAGGTGAAGCGCTTGCACATACTGTGTTATTGTGTTGTTTTTGCTGTATGTGTGTGTGTGTGTGTGTGGTGGTGGTGGTGGGGGGGGGGGGGGGGGCACCACAAAGCCTTTGTGCTTAGGGCACCAAAATAGCTAGCAACAGCCCTGCAGAGGAGTTACAGGTAAAAAGCACGAGTCACTGCAGAAACAGAAAACTGTAAGTGACTTTTAGATTCTTTTGGTTCCTGTGAACGTTGAACTTTTGTAATCTTTATCTCTGTGTTGCAGGGGCATCCTGGAACTCCTGACAGAGACGGGAAGCCGTTTCAGGCGTAGCTACCAATCCTCCTTCCTCTCTCACCTCCTTTTCACCCGTTGACCGCTCACGTTCCCACTCGTGCTTCTCGTCCAACATCCAAGTCACCATGACAACGTCTGCGCTGCGCCGGCAGGTGAAGAATATTGTGCACAACTACTCAGAAGCAGAAATCAAGGTATTTGGAAAACACACTTAAACAGTGTTGATGAGTGTTATCAGATCGAAGTAGACTGACCTTTCTCACCCTGAAGGTCCGCGAGGCCACGTCAAACGATCCATGGGGCCCGTCCTCGTCTCTCATGTCAGAGATCGCTGACCTGACCTTCAACGTGGTGGCGTTTGCTGAGGTCATGGGCATGGTGTGGAAACGCCTCAATGACAGCGGCAAGAACTGGAGACATGTTTACAAGGTGGGTGTTTATTGGCTAGAGCTCTGCTAAGGGAATGAGAGCTTCTAAATGGTTTTGTTCCCCTCAAGAAGGATAAAAGATAAAAGTGCAAACTTCATTCATGTAAAAGAACCAAGTCAGTAATCAACATCCAACTTCAGGCTCTGACTCTGCTGGACTATCTCCTGAAGACGGGATCAGAGAGAGTGGCCCAACAGTGCCGTGAAAATGCATTCACCATTCAGGTACACAGCAGCCACACAAACAAACTTTATCACATTTAAATGTTTACTTCATTTTACTTTTAGGAGGAGATCAGGGTGTCTGAGGGGCTCTGGCAAAAGTATTAAAAGTTGATGAATTTTTTTAAATGTGTGGTTCACTGAAAAAACATATTTCAATTATCAGAATCAGTCTGGCTGAACATGAAAATAGTCTCCTACACCCATCTCCTGCACTAGCTTTGATCGAAAACAGACTGTGAAACTCTAGGATTAGAAAACCTGACAGATCTACGTCACACTGCCTGTTAACTCATTCACTGCCAGCTGTTTCCTGATCAGAAATGCCCTTTGCTGCCAGCGTTTTTCTGCGTTTTCACTGTTTTTTGAAGAGTCACAGAACGTTGCGCACTATGATGATGTCAGCTCCAAAACTACCAAAACAAAGAAGAGACTCACCTCTTACATCAAGAAGAATCTGCACGTTTTGAGCGTTATCCGTTCTTTTGCAATCCGTCATCCCGGGGAAGGCTGTTGTTGGTCGAGGAAACATCAGAGAACATCTCGACTGGTGGACGCTAACCGTTAGCATGAGCAACCTCACCACACTGCATAACTCCTCTATTTGTGGCGATGTAACATCAATTTCACAAGTCAGCGCAGAGTCACGTTGTTATCCAATCCGTGGCTCACTTCTAGTTCCTGGAAATGGTGGAAATGGTGCACTGGTGTTTTTTGTCCCCAGAGCATGACTTACAAGACATTCATTCCTACTAGAGGCCACTGCTTGATTAAAGGAGTGTTTTACACCTTTAACTCCTTCGCTGCCAGCTTTTCTCACCGTTTTTACTGTTGTTTTAAGAGTCACATAATGTTGCGTGATAGGATGATGTTGATGCCAAAACAACCAAAACAAAGTGGAGGCTCACCTCTTACATCAGGAAGAATCTGCGCGTTTCGAGCTTTATCCGTTCTTTCATTATCCGTTGTTGAATTGTGATCGGCAGAAGCTTTTCCGGTTCGCGCCTGACTTTTTTTTTTTTTACAACAGCAGCCCAAAACGATCTAACACATGGATTTTCTGCTTCCTGATCACGTGACATGTGACTTATGCAGATGAAGATCGGCTTTAGAGCTGCCTGTTCTCAGGGTGCGGGGCTCGTTCCGATTCCCAAACAGTAAAAAAATGTAAATGACGGCTTTAATCGTCATTGGCAGTGAACGAGTTAAAGAGCAAGTCACCCCCAAATCAACTTTTTTTCTGAGAAACTATATAAATGAGTGTCTAATCGTGCTGCAGACACGTGTAGTCAGTAGTTTTGCACTTTATTGCATTTTAGTTAAAATTCAAATTTTCTGCCTAAATCTGTCAGTGTTGTACAGTTGTCAGGTAAAAACTCCGCACTGCATTTGAATTTAAATCTGTCATCGCCATTGGCTAAGAGGTACCCCAGAATGTTAGCTGGTGACATATGATGTCACGGTGTGGTCGTGAGCCTGCGTGTGTGTGTGTATTTGTTAGCGGCTCCGCCCTCTCGGTCTGCTAGGCAACAGCATTTGTTGCATTTTTCAAACAGAAAGTGGGAGTGGAGTTAGACTCTGGTAGGGGGTGACTTGCTCTTTAAGGAATCTTCAGACCCTTTAATATTCTTAAGTATAGTTAGTATTGATGTGTTTTCAAAAGAAGTTAGTGCATCAAAAATAGATATGTCTAATATAATAAAATACAATTTTTTCCCAAATGTTTCCTAGGGTTGCATTCCAGATTTGCCAACGTAGAGTATCCTGCTTATTCCTAGTTTCAAGGGAAGTGGAGCAAAATAATTCCGTATCGGCAAAAATGACAGGGAAATGTAAATTTATAGTTTCTTAGCAGAAAGAAAAAGCTGTTCAGGAAATGGCAAAATTGAAATAAAAGCAAATAAACTGAAGCAAATGTGCAAAAACGTTATTTTCATGCTTACTTTTTCGTAACTAAAAGCTCTTCATTAAGATAAACTTTTACTATACTTTTGCTATAGAGTATTTTTTTTATTTTTGATAATGTAGCAATTTTTTAAATCAACTTAGCCTTTAGTTAAAATTTTTATTTCAAATTTTTTTTCCATTGCAAGTGTTCATTAGTTACATGCGCATCCTGGATAAGTCTTCATTATTTTAGAGCCCCTCCTGTATTGGAAATAAGTGACAATCTAAACTGAGCATAAAATGTTTGTGGGAAATTTAGCTCAGTTCAAATTTTTATTCTTCCATCAAACCTTCTTTTTCTGCACAGTTATGCTTTGATTGAAGCTAAAAATGGGCTTGAACGAGACATTGGCTTTTAGAGCTGGTTGTAATTTGATAAGGAGATCAGCACCCCCCTCCCCCACCGACCCGAGTAACATCGATCAAACCACTTAAACTCCAAATTAGTCTCTTATTTCTGTTAGTAATCGAACTTCTCTGGAAACTGACAGCACCTCAGTCGATGTGAAGCCCAAAGAAAATGTTTGACACTGAGCTAAAATTAAAGGTTTGGTATTGAGAGAAATGTTTTATTTCAGAGGAACAAGTGGCACTTACTTTACGTTCAATGTTTGATGCTCTGTTGACTTCTAGTATTCTGTGCAAATGCTTCTTAATCTTTTAGACGCTGCGGGACTTCCAGTACGTGGACCGCGACGGCAGAGACCAGGGGTCGAATGTTCGAGAAAAAGCCCGGCAGCTGGTGTGTCTGCTGCGGGACGAGGACCGGCTCCGCCAGGAGAGGAGTCAGGCCCTGAAGACCAAGGAGCGAATGGCTGGGGGAGGAACTGGCGGGAGCGGGGGAGTGTATGGAGGTATCCCCCCATCCTACCACCCAGGCCGGCGCACGAGTCAACCCAGCATGGCCGTGCTGTACGGTGAAGAGTTCAGCCGCTCCAGAGGGTCTCCGTCCTCCTTCAACTGTGAGTCTAAATTCAAACGTCTCCAAAGCTCACAAACCAGTTATTTTCACTTTTATAATCTCTGAAAAACACAGAAGATGAGTTAAAATACTTCACGTTTCTTGTCACTTCACTAATGAAATGCTTTTTGTACAGCAGCCCAGCCCTTTGGGGCGCTCACATAGATTATTAACGCTGCAGCGTAGACCCAAAAAGATTCAGACCACTTCCTCTCCTTCTGTGCTTCTTACTTTATCATTGCCTTCTCACACAAATTCATCGCTCCTCGTTCCTTCTGCAGCCTCCGCCTCGTCTCCACGCGCCGCATCAGACCTGGAGCAGGCTCGACCTCAGACCAGCGGCGAGGAGGAGCTGCAGCTCCAACTGGCCCTAGCCATGAGCAGGGAGGAGAGTCAGAAGGTAAATAAACACACAGAGTGGTCATCTCCACCAGTGGAACACACACGGGTTCCCAAAACCGAAGCTATAAATGTCTCCTTGCTCTTTTCATGGCTCCAGTAATAAAAATCTGAAAATGATAACGGTTTTTGGAACATTCGCCCACAACGTAGCCCCGTCGTCTCCTGTTACCATGGAGATGAATGATGGCTCAAGCTTTAGTTAAAATAAGCAGGAGTGGATAAAAACGCAAGAGAAGCACGCCTAAAAGCTCTGTGTTACTGCTTATAGCTATTGGTGTGGTCCCTCAGAGACAAGAGGGATAAAGAAACTTGGGGGCACGAGGGAATGTTTCTCACTTTAATTTAGCCACCTTTAATTTTCATTTTGAATATTTTTTTGGTGCGTTCCATTCATGGCGTTTTTCTTGCTTCATTCCCCTAAAACTCTCTCCCACTGCTCACTTAAAGTAGCGCTAAACGTTGCTGGACCAGGTCATGGATCTGTTCTGACGGTGACGATGTACTCGCACGAGGGCGTGTCTATGCTCGTTACGCTAATGATGTCACAATACCGCCTCTGCAGGAGCAGCGCTGTCGCCAAGGAGACGACTCACTGCTACAGAAGGCCCTGGATGAGAGCCGCAGAGAGAGCCAGTCAGGGACGCACGAGGTTAGTTTAAGGCGAGTGTGTGGGAGCATGCATGGTCCGTAGGTGGCTGCTGGCAGGCATTTTGAGAATGAAGCTGAGTGAGTAGTGAAAAGAGGAGGGAAGATGACAAAAACAACAGATGACCATAACAAGGGAGGCTAGTGGAGAAAGCAGAGGGCTGAGGGAGGCGAAAGAGCCTGAATGATGACTGAGTCTTGTAACCTTGAGCTCAGGGTGACATTTCCCTGAAAGCCTTTATCTTGTAGTGCATCTGCTCTCTAACGTAAGCCTTTCAGCCAGCCAATCAGAGTCTCCTGGTGTTGTGTAAACATCCCTGCATGTGGCTTGTAATTGGTCACATTAGACTCATATTACTCTTATCTCAGAGAGCCAGGTGCTTTCAAATGCATCATTAAAGCACCATGGACGTCTGGGTAACCGTGATGGTTCATCTGGCAAACTAAACGCCATGCCCCAGATGACTGTAGCATGGATTGTAACTCCCACAAGTTCAGGGCTGCGGTGTCCGGTGATATTGACTCATGTGATTCTTTTTCCAAATGTAGACTTTCTTTAAAAAACACTCTGTTTGTACTCACGTGTCTATGCTCGTTACGCTGATGATGTCACAATACCGCCTCTGCAGGAGCAGCGCTGCAGGGTCACTTAAAGCTCGGTTCACACGGCAGGATTTTTAAATGAATGGACCACACGCGTACCGATAAAAAAATATATCATGGATACATCTGTTTTGGTCCTAACGTGTGTGGTGAGCAACATTGCAGAACTACACACAAACCAGTTTCTCATTTGGAAATTCCCCGGTCAGATGGAGAATCTTACAAGATCAAACGTGATTCCAGAGTAAACTAGTTCAGCTTTATCTGCATAGCGCTTTCACGTGGCCAAAAGGTCGGACGAAGCGCCGCACGCCATCACAAAAAAGACATGAAAACAAACAAACATGGCGGAGGAGGAGTGCGTGCCTTTTTTCCTCTTTCTGACTGGCTACACATCACATTCAACTAGCAGCACGCTCATTTGTCCTTGAAATGAGAAGAGGAGGATCTATAGAATAAAAGGTCCTGAAATTTCACCAAACAAGTCGGATTTTGTTTCTAACTCCACGTGTGTAGATGTCTTGTAAGACACAACGCTGCCTGTTAAACGTAGATGCTCCACCACCACACCTTTTAAACCAGAAAGTCTATATTTTAAACAGTTCCTTTGCTCATATTTTTAAATGAGTCACTTAGCAAAAAAATTGAGGTGACATACCTGGCGCTGCCGTCTGGTTCCAGCATGTTTCCTGCATGTTTTACATCATGAACACGGCCGATTTTTTTCTTTTAGTGATGAATCACTCCTGTAGGGGGAGAGATTTCTGCTTTCAGACTGCATTGTAAAAAGATGAACACACAGCGAAGAGAAAGGTTTTGCTCTTGGTTTTACTAAATGGACGATAGGTGGTGCTAAAAGCAAGCCAACACTGTCTATCTCCCTTTAATACAGGGGTCCTCAATTATTATGGTCCAAGGGCCACACACAAAAAAGACCCAGAAGGACAACACCTGTCCCCCTCCAGCTCGGCTGTGTGACTGCACTAACCTGTCCTGTGGGACCCTCACCATGTGACCCTCATGTCCATGCTGTCTCTGGAGGAGCAGATAGAAAACAAGATCTCCTGTAACTTAAAATGAACCAAAGCTTCCTCCCAGTTTCTCTTTAAGCTGAATTTAACATCAGTTTATCATCATGAAACAAAAGAATAAAGTGGAACAAGAACTTCTATCTTCTATTTCTCTCTCCTTTTAACTTCTCCGTGTCCCTAAATAAAAGAGACAGACGATCACGCTGCAGCCGCCGTCACTCACCCCGCTCCCTCCCCAAGACCGGACCTCCTGACATCACTGCACTCAGTCTGACTGAGCGCTTCCAGGAGAAACAATAATGAAATTATGAAAACAATAACGCGTGTTTGGAGGAGCGTCCTCCGATCCTCTCTCTTGTGTGAGCAGACAATCTCCCGCTCTCTCTGTCTCAGTCGCTGATCGAGCGAGCGGAGCGCGCCGCGCGACAACCCGCTCAATTAACATAATTTACGGCCCAAATCCAACAGAACCGGTCGGGCTGATTCGATTCGGGTTCGGTCTCAGGTTTTAACTCCAGTGCTCAGCCCTGCAGTACCGCATAAAGGCAGATCAAAGTTTCCTACCCGGTAAATGTTGAGAACACCGCTCTGACAGATTTGGATGCTGTGCTGGTGCCGCCGTTAAAATAACACAACTACATTCCACTATAATTGATTATGGTACTCTTCTATGATGCAAAACCGTTTATGCCCTCATCTAATGCAATGATTATTTGATTATTTTCCTCAGCTCTATCCTAAACCTCCCGGTCGGCCGTCGGGGGTGGGGGGTGCGTGCGGGGTTTGGGGGCCATAAAGAGAGGGCCCGCGGGCCGCTATTTGTGGACCACCGCATTTGCAGTGGTCTCTAGTAGGAATGAATGCCTTGTAAGTTGTACTCTGGGGAAAAAAGAGCTCCGGTGCGCCTGTTTCAGCTTGAAGAACTCAGCCAGGGGAGAAGGTAGCTTCAGACGACAGGATATGGATTCTAATTTCCTGATATTTGGACATCTTGCCTCTCATTGGATAACAGCATCACGACTCTAACATTGACACCGTTTGCTTTGCAGCGTCTATGTTTTGTCTCCATAAATGACACAAGTCTGAAGGAACTTCTGCCGTGTGGTGGAGTTGCTAATGCTAACAGTTAGCCTTTACTAGTCAAGATGTTCTCTGCTGTTTCCTGGACGCTAAACCAACAACAGCCTTTCCCATCGACTCAAGATGGGTGAGCCCATGAATGCTAAGCGACAGTGTGACGTAGATCTGTCAGGCTTTTCTAATCCTAGACTTTCACTGTCTATTTTCTATCAGAAGCTAATGCAGGAGATAGGTGTAGGAGATTATTTTCATGTTCAGCCTGCATGTTAAACTCAGAGTTACCGATCTATTTTGAAAATAATATGGTAAATTGCCTGTATTTTATATAGTCTTCTAGAGTTCTGGAAAATGTTCACATCTATAGGATGGCTTGCAGGCTAGTGGGATATTTTAGAGAACTCTTAAAGGGGCATTATGGAAGTTTGACAGCCAAAACATGTATAGAAATGAATGTCTTCTTCATACATTCTCCTGCAATGCTCTGGTCCTGTAGAATGAGCCCTGGCATTTTTACTGTGATTGCCTGTTTTTCTGTAAAATCACAGAAAAAGAGAGATGCTCGGGTCGAGCAGGCTGCTTCATGCGCGTTCACGCTCAGGCATCGCCCGTAGCATTTGCTATCCTTAGCTTTAGCAGCAGAGAGAGGTAGTGCCAACTCAGCGACTTTGTCGCTGTTCCTAACGCCTAGTGATGGACCTAGCTACATTTCAGAGGACCCTTAGCTACTTTCTTCTAGATATTTCCTGCAAATTAGCAACAAAATAGCCATTTTCGCTCCGAACCATTCTTTGGTGTGACGTTGTTTCAGCTGTCATCAAGGATATAAAAGTTACAGATACTATGAATGTTACTAGAGTGTAGCTCACCTTGTAAGATGTCTGATTCCCATGCAGAAGACCTGGATTCGATTCTGGATGTGAACGCAGTTCATTTAGAATTTCTTTTTTACATTAATGGTATATTTTTTTACAGTAAGATGCCATTTTTTATTTGAGACTCGCCGAACGGCATTGAATTCATAGATAAAAAGATGTGGGTTCAACTTTCATTTTGGAACAATTTTTCAAGCAAGGGAAGGGAATGATCTGAGCTTGCAGGAGGACTGACCCATCATAAACCTTTGTCGGCTGTGCTGAAGAGAAAGGTACAGAACCAAATTATTTAATTAATTAGCTGCGCATTCTCCTGTCCTCTGTCCTCCGGGCCACACACACACACACACACACACACACACACACACACACACACACACACACACACACACACACACACACACACACGGGACTGTCTCAGCTGTTATTTTCGTTAAGGAGTGTGCACGTACAGCATGCGCGCCTCGTGTACGAGCCTACTATTGAAGCTGCCATTACGCTTTTGGCCTGAGGGGGCAATCGCGAGCATAAAAATTCAAAAGTCCGAAAAGTCCTTTTAATTATTTTACTTTAACTGGTAACTCTTGACAATAAGGGTCCCTTTATTAAGGTTTCTTAGTGTATTATTCAGCATTAATAATCAGTAAAATAAAGTATGAACTATTGTGTGATGCATTACTAAGCAGACGCCCTTTGTCCTAACCTTAAGGACACTTAACAGTCAACAACAACGGCAGCGTCATTACCAAAGACTGTTGAAAGTCTTTGGTAATTTGATGTTCATCTATTCAGTGTGAGGTTAGTTAAATGTCTCAGATATAAATGTGATTTCCTGGCAGATTTCTAAAGCATTGAGTATAAGTTGTGTTTAATTTAAAGTGAAAAGTACATTAGAGAACGTGAGGTGCTTTTAAACGTTATTTTTTTTCTGTAGTCGGCCATGTTGGACCTGGTGGACATATTTGGACCCTCGTCTGGGTCTCAGCCTCCCCCCGGTGACCCTTGGCCCTCAGCTCAGCCCTCCTGTAACTCCACCTCCAACCCCTGGGACTCTGTAGGTGTGTGCCTCATCTCAAACATCCAGAACGAAACCCAAAGCCTCTCAGAGCCACATGTGGATTTCATCAAACTGAGAAAAAAAACATTCTTCCATCTACACAGCAGTCCAGTCCAGCACTCCTGTGATTGGCAGCCCCTGGATGGACCCTCCCTCCTCCTGCAACTCGTCCAATCCCTGGGCTCCGTGTACAAACTCACACAGAGACCCCTGGGAGGCGGCACCCGTCCCGTCCACTCCTCCCAGTCATGCCTGGGATGGCCCAACAAATGGAGGTAACATCACAATTCGAATCAGGATGAACCTTTATCACATCGTTTTACTGATTATTCCCGTTTTCAGATGATGGGACGGATCCGTTTGCTGAACAGGAAGAGGAGAAGCTTCAGCAGGAAGTTCCCCGAGTGTCACCCCCCCAGTCTGCTAGTCCTACAGGTACCAGAACCCTTTCCAGTTGATCCCACTTCAGGAATTTTCATTCAGTTCCAAAACTAAAAAGGCAACAAACATGGATTTTCCACAAATACAAGAACTGAAATGTTTAAATAAATAAATAGCTGAAAATCATTAACTTTGTGTTTTACAGCGAGCTCGTGTCTGTGTGAGGTGACCGTAAGGGTCTGTCAGAATCCATTCCAGCAGATTTGATGATTAGAAAACCAAACATTTTAAAATAATAATAGGAAACAATCACAGCCGACACTGAGGTTTGGACTTTTCCTGCAGTCGCTGCTCATGCGGACTCAGAGACCTTTTCTCCTTGACTGAATGCAACATTTGTTGTTGTGGGATTTTTTTTTCTCACAGCTTAAAATGAAAGGGAAGGAATCGGATCTAGGGAGGAAAAGGAGTCAGAACTGTTTAAACTTTGTAGTGATGGTTGGTGGTTTTTCAACGATTGTGTATTCAAGCTTTCAATGAGCAAGTAGAAGCAAGTATGTCGATTTGTTTTCACTCACAGCACAGGGAATGGTAAATAGCCATCGGGCCATTGTAATGCCTTGTTTCCAAGTCTGAACTCTGCAGCGAGAATCATGACTCACACAAATAGAAGGACTCACGTTTCTCCTGTCCCAAAACAACTGTGTCGGTTAAGGTTCTGGTTTTCATAGCCCTGCATGGACAGGCTCCCTTTTACATTAGCGATCAGATCCACCCCTACACCTCTGTGCAGGCTCTGAGGTCTCTCGTCTTCCCCCGCTTATCCGGGTCCAAGTCGCGCGGGCAGCATCCCAACTAGACTGTCCTCTCCCCGGCCACCTCCACCAGCTCCACCAGCAGGACCCCAAGGCGATCCTAGGCCAGTTCGGAGATGTACTTTCTCCAACGTGTCCTGGGTCGACCAGGGGGCCTCCTGCCGGCAGGACATGCCTGAAGCGCCTCCCTAGGGAGACGTCCAGGAGGAATCCTAACAAGATGCCCAAACACCTCAACTGACTCCTCTCGATATGGAGGAGCAGCGGCTCTAGTCCGAGTCTCTCCCGAATGTCCGAGCTCCTCACCCTAAGGACTCTGAGGTGTATGGATCTAACACCGGGGACACACCGGCCGCCGAAGCGCCGCGACTCGCCGGGAGGCGAAGCGCTCACGAAATTCCGCCGCTGCTCGCTGCTCCTCAGTTCAGACCAGACGCTTGTTTCTCCGCTCCGGTCGAGGCGCGCCTCGTACTTTTTCTTTTAACCACTTGGTGTCCTCCATTTCCTCTATGCCTTTTCTCTGCTCTTTTCCTCTACACCCCCTCCCCTTTGCTGTTTGTGTGTGTGTGTGTGTGTGTGTGTGTGTGTGTGTGTGTGTGTGTGTGTGTGTGTGTGTTAGGGCCTGCACGACTTTATTTTTTCTAAAGTCGACAGTCAAGTAATGAAAGTCGAGTCGACTTCGACTAGTCGTTGATGACGTCATACGCCGGAAGCGGGGGGGGGGGGGGGGGGTCGGGGGTCGGTCGGTAGGTTCGCTGGAGGTTTTGACAATTAAAATTGCACCCACATTTTCTAAGTTAACACATCTCTTTTAACAACGGCAGTTTCTGCATCCTGCTTCAGTCCTCTCCCCCCTCCCCCTGCTTCAGTCCTCTCCCCCCTCCCCCTGCGCAGCAGCCGCAAACTCACTGATGCGCCTGCAGCCTCTCGGAGTTCCTGCTGCTCTAAACATTAAAATAATTATTTTCTGTTCCTCACTTCTGATTACCTTCAATGGTGTCTGTTTGTTGCAACCACTAGGGTACAAAAGCGAACATGTTTTTATTTGACTATTTTTCTGTCCTGTCTGTTTATTATCTTCCTGCATCTCCTCTCAATCCTAAAGAAAAACTGCTACCTGCGTTCATATATATTCACCTTATGACTTACCTTTGAACTGCAGTTCTAAAAGATCTACCGACCGCAAAAACAGCGGAGTGCCGCTGCTCGCCGGCTGACTACAACGGGACCGTTTTTGCTGCAGAGTTCATGCCGGAGCGGAGCGGAGTGGAGATAGTGGAATCTTGGGGGTGCGTCACCGGAGGACAACAGGTGATGCGCATCGCTCCGCAGCAGCGAAATGCATCAGGCACAAATAACAGACAGAAAACATGAAAGGAAATGAGCCGACATGAACGATCGCGTGTTTAATTTGTTTTTGAGGTGGTGACACCTGATTTGGCGGTGCTCAGGACGCAATGTCTGGAGCGCACGTCAACGATCAGAGCTTTGCATGCACAAACTGGTAAAGATTAGGATGGGGGTGAGGGGAAGGTTAAATTGCAAGAGGGAAAAGTTCACAGTTTGGTTAAATGTCCGTTTTACCGCCGGTGTCAGTACCGCATAGCGCGTCGCCTCCGCCTCGATCCAGACGCGCAGGGGCTCATCACCCGCTGTCTTCCGAGGACTGCATCTTGTCAGTCATTATCACGTGACAGCGACTAGTTGATGACAGGCATAAAAAGTCACTACAGAGCCGTGAAGTCGACTAGTCGACTAGTCGACTAGTTCATACAACCCCTAGTGTGTGTGTGTGTGTGTGTGTGTGTGTGTGTAGGTGTGTGTGTGTGTGTGTGTAGGTGTGTGTGTGTGTAGGTGTGTGCGCGTGTGTGTGTGTGTGTGTGTGTGTGTGTGTGTAGGTGTGTGTGTGTGTGTGTGTGTGTGTGTGTGTGTGTGTGTGTGTGTGTGTGTAGGTGTGTGCGTGTGTGTGTGTGTGTGTGTGTGGGTGGGTGTGTGTGTGTGTGTGTGTGTGCGTGTGTGTGTGTGGGGGTGTGTGTGTGTGTGTGTGTGTGTGTGCGTGTGTGTGTGTGCGTGTGTGTGTGTGTGGTTTTTATGCAGTGTCTGTTTACGAACACATTTGACTATCGCGAAATTGTATTTTGAAATGCTTTATTTTGTTAAATTTACCGGCCTGCCTCATGTCTAGGTTTGACTTCCTGTCAGAATTGACGCGGTTCACCCGCGGCTCGCGAAAAAAATAGAGCAGACGCCGAAACGATCGCTGCACGGCGTGGGCTGGAGCGCGCGGTGCTTCGGCAGCCGGTGTGGCTCCGGCTAAGTTTGCTGAAAGTTCCTCACGCTTCTTTTCGCTCTAGAGGTGACCGATCCATCGAAGCTGTAGCTGCTAGGCTTTGGAGTGATCTAAACCTCCTCTTCTCTTAATTGATTCTGTCAACAGTTTCAAGAGTGAACTTACTTAGCCTGCATGTATACAGAGCCTTCTTTAGTCCTAGAACCCCCCAAGGCACTTTACAACACAACCAGTCATTCATCCATGCACACACACACACACACATTCACACGTTGTTGATGATGAGCTACTTTGTAGCTGCAGCTTCCCTGGGGTGCACTGACAGAGCAGCAAGGCTGCTGAGCACAGGCACCACCAGCAGACAAGGATGGTCAAGTGTCTTGCCCAAGGACACAACAGCAGCCGGGATCGAACCTGCAACCTTCCGATTGCTAGGTAACCCGCTCTACCTCCTGAGCTACTGCGGCCCTTTTCATGTCTCTTAACAACATTCTAATGTAGCTACAACTATTTTGTGGAAATTACAAAACAATGAAAAAACTGGTCTCAGTTTCTTTAAACTGAGGCTGTTCAAACAGCAAAGTGTGACAGGTTAGATTCATGTTTATATCTCATCATTTTTACACAATCATCATTTGAACGATCACTTCAAAGAGAAGTGGAAGTTGTTGGGTCTTTTTTTAGATCAAACTTTTCATCACTGCGTGTTTTTTGGTTTAATTCAGTAAAATTGCGAATATTTTTGGCGTTTTTTTTATTAATCATAATAATGAAGATTTCCTATTGTTTGAATTTCAGGGAATCCAGACTGACCTTTGAAACAAAGAAAATAAAAAGCTGCAGTTATTTTTGTAAAGAAACCTGCTGATTTCACAACTTCTGTACAAACTCTAACCTCTCAGGGTTATTAAACATCTAGTGCGGTGCTTAGATGTCTTTTAAGAGCTATTCTGGCGTTCTGCTTTACTCACTTTACAGATTCTGAGTTGTTTGGAGTCAAACCAGAATCGGACTCCAAGTCGGATCCATTCCTAACAGAGCCCCCGGTGAAACCCTCGGAAAACGGGCGGGAATCGGCCAGCCCGGAGATGTTTGACCTGTCTCGGTTAGCGCCCCCCCTCAGCGCACCACCTGCACGTGTGTGTCGGACTCCGGAGGCTTTCCTCGGACCCACGGGGGCCTCGTTGGTCAATTTAGACACTCTGATACCTCCCAGACCTCCTAGCAAGACTCTAAATAACCCATTCCTCTCAGGTAACACAGACACACGAAGATGGCTGCTTGTTAAATGTTATTTATATTATTTGTATTTTTTTACAGGTCTGAGTGCACCGTCTCCTACCAATCCCTTCCACTGCGATCAGCCGCGCCTCACGCTGAACCAAATGCGGCCGTCCTCCACTTCTCCGCTGCCACCTCACATGCTGTCCTACAGCCCATCGTTGCCTCTCCCTCTGCTCCACCAGCCACCCATCCTCCCCTCCTCCCTCACACAACCTCCTGCTGGACTCCTGGACCTCCCTTCCAACCTCCCGCAGCCCCTGCTCCCGCTTTCTCCTCGATCGGCGCCTCGCGCTCATCCTCAAACACACAGCCACAACCCTTTCCTCTGAGACCACCGCATCTTCCAGCCGGTGCTCTGCAGAGAAAAGCCACTAAGCAGACTTTTTTCTGGCCGTCTGCAGTGAAACTAGTTGGAACGAGCCCAAACCGGATCCTGTTCTGATGTCATTGTGTGACCTTAAAGTGGATTGGATACATCTTTGTCTAAAGCTGCTAAACGACCTGAACTGAAGACATAAGTTCACTCTCCTCTGCACAGATACGATTTCAGTTGTGTTTTCAGACGGGCCTCAGGATGCAAACCATGCAGGCAACACCACCCTACGTTCTCTTTGAAGCCACACGCTTTGATTGTCCTCTAAGCTTTACCGGGAACCTGACTTGCTGCTTCACCGACAAAAGCATGAATGCCTCCTGACCCCGAGAATCTAATCAACTCTTTTCTTCCGAGCTCCTCAAAATAAATCCTTTTAGTCTGTTGAGTCTGAACTTCCTGTTCCTGGAGAAGGTCCAAATCCATGAGATTGGGGGAGAAAAAAGCACAGAGAGCAACATGAAAACTAGTTCCTACCTGAAATAAATGATTAAACATTTAAACTGCTTTGCCTTTTAAAAAGCTCGAGGGCATGTGGTTCAGCGCCAGCTCAGCCTTTAGGGTCAGTAACTTCTGCAGGATTTAGTTGAATTCAACAGTGGAACAAGCCAGCATCAGAGCCTTCCTACAGCTCCATTTTATTGTTTTTAGTTTCAGGTGAACCCCAGTCTGATTCCTGCACCTACCTCTGTTGCTTACCCTACCCATGCCACTGAGGAGGACCTCAGGAAGAGCCTGCTGTCCCTCCTTCAATGAGAATTTAATGCATCTGTCTTCACAAACCAAACTACAGAAACTTTATTTGTCCAAAAAGGCTGGAATGAGCCGAGCAGGTTAAAGGAACCACAGAATCTGAGACATTTCAGATCATGAAATGCTTCATTTCTGCACCAAAACTGGACATGAATGTAAAATGCCTACCTATAAACACACAGGCGAAGTAAATATGTATTTAATAGAATTATATTGCTGTATCATGAAATATTATGCCAATAAATTGCTGGTGTTTGCGTTTTAATTCTATTTAATAATCCTTATTTATGTTGACTTCACAGATCGACTGATTGTGACTAAATGCTGATGTTTATTTAGTAATGAAGTAGATTTGAGGTGAGAGTCCCGGTTCTGATTCTTTTCCCCCAACAACTCTGACGTAAGCCACCAAAATCTTCCAACCACTAGATGGCAGCAATGAGTCAGAGAGTTTAGGTTTTCAGCTAAGCAGGTTTCATCTATTAGGTAAATGCATATGCATGCATCTGGTTCATTTATTATGTAATAGAATACAAATACATTTACTGATATGTTACAGAACATTAGATCTGTAACATAATAAATACAATTTGTCAATAATTCAACAACTTTAAAAATGGACACACAAACACCACCCACGTGAAACATACATGTTTAATTCAAACGGTCAAATTCAGTCAACATGAAACTTAGAATAACATCATAAACTCCATTTAATGTCCTCAAAAATACTTTATTCTGCTGCAGATGGATAAATAAAGAACTCCAGTATTTTTATGACTACTGAATATTATAAAATTGGTTATCTATTTCAAATCCCTTCTTCTATCCATAGATTTCACATGCTCTACCTGAGCAGGCAACAACAAAATCCAGAAATGTTTTTTATACAGCCAAAGCTAAACGTGAGTCTTAGACCATAAAACAAAGAGCCGAAATCTACAAATTTAATGAAAATCTGTTTTTTTTAACATTTTCATAAATATGTTTTTTATCATGATTATATTTAAATTTAATTTTAAAAAGTTTATTTGTTTTGTTGTTTTGTTTTTAAAAGTTATTTTTATTTATTAGCACGTGCTATAAGCCAGACATATGTTTTAAAAACCAAACATTGGTCATTTTTATGGTGAAAGACTTTTTACTGTGTGAAAATTTAACCAAAGACTTTGTTGTAACACCACTTATTTACCACAAGACGGCAACATTATCCAAGCAGAAAGTACAAGTGTGTATATCTATCTATCTATCTATCTATCTATCTATCTATCTATCTATCTATCTATCTATCTATCTATCTATCTATCTATCTATCTATCTATCTATCTATCTATCTATCTATCTATCTGTCTGTCTGTCTGTCTGTCTGTCTGTCTGTCTGTGTCTGTCTATCTGTCTATCTATCTATCTATCTATCTATCTATCTATCTATCTATCTATCTATCTATCTATCTATCTATCTATCTATCTATCTATCTATCTATCTATCTATCTATCTATCTATCTATCTATCTATCTATCTATATATATATATATATATGTACACTCAACAAAAATATAAACGCAACACCTTTGTTTCTGCTCCGATTTTTCATGACATGGACTTAAAGATCTAAACTTCATTCCAGATACAATATTACCATTTCTCTCAAACATTGTTCACAAATCAGTCTAAATGTGTGATAGTGAGCGCCTGTGCTTTGCTGAGATAATCCATCGCAGTGATGGAATGTGAGGTGTAGGTGGTGTGATGTAAGTTAGATGTTTATCAGAATCTTTGTTGTCTGCTATAAATTAGACAGTTGATTATTATTAATAAACAACATCAGACGCAATCTGTTGTGTCCACAATCCCTGGCGGAGACCCCCAGCAGATCCAGACCTTCAGAAGTCGGGTGGACCTCACGGCACCGGGATTTCGTAGATTAACTCCGACACGACCCGTCCAGTCTTGAGATGTCTCCAGGTCACAACAGTAGCTGGAATGCTTGTTTGCGTCCAAAGTGGATGTGGCTCTCAGGGAGCCATCTGGCTGTGTCAGCTTGCAGCGTGCAAACAGGTTTTGACTGTATGTCAAAAGAGAAGTCTCAAGGATGCTCATTTCGAATTGGCCGGTTCGAAACTCCGCTAGAAACTAAATCACTCGGGAAGTAATTCTTGTTTTATTAAACTACTTTGTTATGCTTTCCGGCGTATTCTGACAAATCAGAATGCGCCATGTGTCACGATACAAGGTTGGTAGGACCCAAAAAGCAGTCACCCAGGATGACACGAGGCAGGAGTTGAATATATATAAAAAATCCTTTATTTAGAAGCAACCAAAAACAAAAGTAATCCAAAAGGCTGTGAGCCAAAAGTCCAAAAAGCCAGACAGAGATCTGGAGATCCAAAAACACAAGAGGCACGAGAAGATTAGATCTAAACACTAGAGGTACGAGAAGACTAGATCCAAACACTAGAGGTACGAGAAGACTAGATCCAAACACTAGAGGTACGAGAAGACTAGATCCAAACACTAGAGTCCAGTGATCCGGTGACCTTGTTTTCACACAAATGGACCCAGAATGATGTGAAATTGTGCCTCGTGCAACATAATTCTGGGTGCCATTTAAAAACCATAAGTGCTAATGACTTCATTCCTTTTTGGGGTAATAAGGGCTGTTGATTGGAGTACACTAAGACAAACCTGACCTCTCTGAGACATTCAGAAGCTAAGTTATAAGCCCCCAAATGTGTGTTTGGAACTCCGCCTTTAAGGAACAAGTGATCCGGTGACCTTTATGACCTGATTTGACACCCTTAGGAATGTGCTATCATCATGAAACACAGGAATCGTTTACAACTCAATAGATTCTACCTTCTTGTAACGTTTCAGCCTGATTGGACCTTGTTTTCACACAAATGGACCCAGAATGATGTGAAATTGTGCTTCGTGCAACATAATTCTGGGTGCCATTTACAAACCATAAGTGCTAATGACTCCATTCCTTTTTGTGGTTGTAGGGGCTGTTGATTGGAGTACACTAAAACAAGCCTGACCTCTCTAGGACATTCAGAAGCCAAGTTATAAGCCCACACATGTGTAACTGGACTACTTCTTTAAATTGACACCAGATCCGGTGACCTTTGGGACATGGTTTGACCCCCTATAGGAATGTGCGATCATCATGAAACGTTCAGATCACTTACAACTCAATAGATTCTACCTTCTTGTAACATTTCAGCCTGATTGGACCTTGTTTTCACACAAATGAACCCAGAATGATGTGAAATTGTGCTTCGTGCAACATAATTCTGGGTGCCATTTCAAAACCATAAGTGCTAATGACTCCATTCCTTTTTGGGGTAATGGGGGCTGTTAATTGGAGTACTCTAAAACAAACCTGACCTCTCTAGGATATTCAGAAGCCAAGTTATAAGCCCACAAAGGTGTAACTGGACTACTTCTTTAAAGTGACACCAGGCCCGGTGACCTTTGGGACATGGTTTGACCCCCTATAGGAATGTGCGATCATCATGAAACGTTCAGGTCACTTACAACTCAATAGATTCTACCTTCTTGTAACGTTTCAGCCTGACTGGACCTTGTTTTCACACAAATGGACCCAGAATGATGTGAAATTGTGCTTCGTGCAACATAATTCTGGGTGCCATTTACAAACCATAAGTGCTAATGACTCCATTCTTTTTTGTGGTTGTAGGGGCTGTTGATTGGAGTACACTAAAACAAACCTGATCTCTCTAGGACATTCAGAAGCCAAGTTATAAGCCCACAAATGTGTAACTGGACTACTTCTTTAAAGTGACACCAGGCCCGGTGACCTTTGGGACATGGTTTTACCCCCTATAGGAATTTGCGATCATCATGAAACGTTCAGATCACTAACAACTCAATAGATTCTACCTTCTTGTAACGTTTCAGGCTGATTGGACCCTGTTTTTACACAAATGGACCCAGAATGATGTGAAATTGTGCTTCGTGCAACATAATTCTAGGTGCCATTTACAAACCATAAGTGCTAATGACTCCATTCCTTTTTGTGGTTGTAGGGTCTGTTGATTGGAGTACACTAAAACAAACCTGATCTCTCTAGGACATTCAGAAGCCAAGTTATAAGCCCACAAATGTGTAACTGGACTACTTCTTTAAATTGACACCAGATCCGGTGACCTTTGGGACATGGTTTGACCCCCTTAGGAAAGTGCTATCATCATGAAACGTTCAGATCACTTACAACTCAATAGATTCTACCTTCCTGTAACGTTTCAGCCTGATTGGACCTTGTTTTCACACAAATGAACCCAGAATGATGTGAAATTGTGCTTCGTGCAACATAATTCTGGGTGCCATTTAAAAACCATAAGTGCTAATGACTCCATTCCTTTTTGGGGTAATGGGGGGCTGTTAATTGGAGTACTCTAAAACAAACCTGGCCTCTCTAGGATATTCAGAAGCCAAGTTATAAGCCCACACATGTGTAACTGGACTACTTCTTTAAATTGACACCAGATGACCTTTGGGACATGGTTTGACCCCCTTAGGAAAGTGCTATCATCATGAAACGTTCAGATCACTTACAACTCAATAGATTCTACCTTCCTGTAACGTTTCAGCCTGATTGGACCTTGTTTTCACACAAATGGACCCAGAATGATGTGAAATTGGGCTTCGTGCAACATAATTCTGGGTGCCATTTACAAACCATAAGTGCTAATGACTCCATTCTTTTTTGTGGTTGTAGGGGCTGTTGATTGGAGTACACTAAAACAAACCTGACCTCTCTAGGACATTCAGAAGCCAAGTTATAAGCCCACAAATGTGTAACTGGACTACTTCTTTAAAGTGACACCAGATCCGGTGACATTTGGGACATGGTTTGACCCCCTATAGGAATGTGCTATCATCATGAAACGTTCAGATCACTTACAACTCAATAGATTCTACCTTCCTGTAACGTTTCAGCCTGATTGGACATTGTTTTCACACAAATGAACCCAGAATGATGTGAAATTGTGCTTCGTGCAACATAATTCTGGGTGCCATTTAAAAACAATAAGTGCTAATGACTCCATTCCTTTTTAGGGTAATGGGGGCTGTTAATAGGAGTACTCTAAAAGAAACCTGACCTCTCTAGGATATTCAAAAGTCAAGTTATAAGCCAACAAAGGTGTAACTGGACTACTTTAAAGTGACACCAGGCCCGGTGACCTTTGGGACATGGTTTGACCCCCTATAGGAATGTGCGATCATCATGAAACGTTCAG